TCAGGATTCTTTGTCTTTGGTTTTAATGAGTGTGATTATGATATCCCTTGATTTTCTTTTGGGGTCTATCCTACATGGGGTTCGTTGAGCTTCTTGGATGGTCAGCTTTTCATCTTTCATGATATTGGGGAAGTTTTCTCTCAGAAGTTCTTCAATGATCCTCTGTTTTCTCACCCTGTTCTGGAACCTCGATCACTCACAGATTTTTGCTTTTGATTGTATCCCACATAATTCTCAGGGTTTCTTCTTCATTTTTTTTTTATTTTTCCTCAAAGTTGTGTCTACATGTTTGTCTTCATTTTGCAAATCCTGTCTTCCATCGTTTCTAACCTGCTCCTCAGCCCTTCTATGACACTGTCCATTTCTAAAATCGTGTTTATCTTTTGGATTTCTAATTGTTGTTTTTGTATGATTTCTAGTTGTGAATTTATTTTGGCATTTTGTTTCTTATTATATTCCTGAATTATTCCATTTTTTTGTCTGTATTTTCCATGAATTTATCTATTTTTTTCCTCATTTTTGTCTGCTTTTTGCTTCAACTTTTGGATAGCTCTGAATATTAGAGATTTGAATTCCCAATCAGGTAGTTATAGTGCTTTTTCTTCTACTGGAAGGTCATCTGGTGTTTTATTTTGGGTGCCCCCTTTTTTTTAATATGTTTTGATACTGTCTGCTGTCTTTGGGACATTCAGTATTTTCCTTGTTTATTTATTGTAGATTTGTTTCATCCTGCTTTTTTATTTATGTCTGAGCAGGCGGCTTGTGCGTTCTTTGTTGTTTGCTTGTCTGTGGGCACAATACTTTTCGCCTTCTTGTCCAATGAGCAGGTCCAGTCGCTCAGCTATGGTGCAGCAGGGCAAGTCCAGCTGAAGAGGAGTTGCTGGGATGGGTTGTTTGTGGCACGTACTGTAGCCAACAGGGCGGGCTGGGAATCAGTGCAGGGCTGGTTCTTGTAGGCCATGCCTGTGCTGCTCAGGGGTTTGATGTTCAGCACACGGTGCAGGTAGGAAGGAGTGGGGAGATCGTGATCTGTGGAGCTAAGACAGGTATGGGAAAGAGGGGAGGAGAGAAAAACAGGAGACAAAAACAAACCAAAAAGAGTGCTAACGGAGCTTGCCATTGGAGTGATGAGAGGCCGAGAAACTGGGAAAAAAAGAAAAAGGGTAAAAGAAAAAAATAAAAATTAGAAAAAAAAGAAAATCCCCTAGGGATCCCACTGGTGCAGCTGTGAAGACTGGCAAAGTGGCTCCTAGGTCGTGAAGTACAGCCTGGCTGGAAGGGGTAGAGGTGTCACACAGTGCCAGGTATTCAGGAGACAGGAAGCAAAGGTAAGTACAGAGAGATAAGAAACTGAGAAATGAAGAAAGGGAAGAAGAGAAAACAAAAAACCAAAAGAAAACAAAAAAAGAAATGCCCCCAGGGATCCCACTGTGTGGCTGCATAGACTGAGGAAGTAGCTCCTACGCTGTGTAGTACAGCCCGGCTAGAAGGGGCTCCAAAGCCAAGAAAAGAAAAAGAATACAAACAAATCATAACAGAACACATCAAAACAAAAAACAAAAAGCTCCAGGGATTCCACCAGCATGGTGGTGCGGGCCGGGAAGCAGTTCCATAGTTGAGCGGCGTTTCACAGCCTTTCAGGAAGAAGCAAGGATGGCATATGGAGCCAGGTATTTGAGAGAGAGGAAGAGGAGGTAGTGAGAGGTATGGAAGAAACCAAAAGAAGTGGAAAAAAGCAACACCAGCAACAAACAAATGGCACTCAGGGAGCCAGCCAGTGTGGGCAGGTGGAATCCAGGTGGCACAGGGCTGAAGCCAGTGTCTCCTGGCAAAGAGACTGTGGCTGTAGGAAGCAGAAGAGGCCGAGTGGGGGTGAAGAAGGGTGGAAGGTGGGAAAGCGTATATAGCTGGTTACTGGTTGTTCTGTCTCCTGCTGGGAGCTCTGTGAAGCTGCTTTCCAGTATTGCCTTCTGCTGATCTTCAACAGGGGTCCAAGAAGGCGAATCCGTGCTGCATTAGCTGATAGGGGACCTCTGCACGTATCTCTCCTCACTCTCTGTTCTCTGTCAGTTTCTTATTCCATTTGGGGGTTGGCTGAGTTCTTCATCTCTTCATTTGATGTTTATGGTTTCAGGAATGACATTTGTCTCTGTTTGACTTAGTTTTTAAGGTCTTTGCTGTGGAGGGACGGCGTGGTGCTTCTGTCTATAGCACCACGTTGCCTGGAAGTCTAGCCCCTTTAAGATCTTGCTTAGAAATCTCATCAGCCAGATATCCAAGTTCATCACTTACAAGTTCTATCTTTCACCAAACATTTGAACATTATGAGGACAAGTTCTTTGCCACTGCATAAAAAGCATCGCCCTTCTTCCACTGTCCAATCATATGTTTATCATTTTGTTTTAAAGCCTCACCAGAAGCACATTTAACATCCATATTTCTAGCAACATTCTGTTGCTGGCACCATATATATTCTCTAAAATGACAGAGACTTTCTCTTTAGCTCTCCTCACTTCCTCTGAGCCCTCACCAGAACTGCCTTTGACATCCATAATTCTACCAACACTCTCTTCAAGGCAATCTAGGCTTTTACTATTAGGCACCTTAAAACTCTTCCAGCCTCTACCCATTACCCAATTCCAAAACTGCTTCCACATTTTAGGTATCTGTTAGAGCAGCACCCCACTCTTCCAGTACCAAATTCTGTCTTAGTTATCAAGTGCTGCTATAACAGAAATACCACAAGTGGATGACTTTTAACAAACAGAAGTTTATTTTTTCACAGTTTAGGAGGCTAGAAGTCCAAATTTAAGGTGCTGGCTCTAAGGGAAGGCTCTCTGTGTCAGCCCTGGAGAAAGGTCTTTGTCTCTTCTGAGCTTCTGCTCCTGAGCAATCTTCATGTGGCTTGGCATCTCTCTTCCCCCATCTCTGCTTCTTTTGCTTGTTTATTTTATATCTAAAAAGAGGCTGACTTAAGACACATCCTACGCTAATCCTGTCTCATTAATGTAACAAAGACAACCCATTCCTAAATATGATTATAACCAGAGGCATAGAGGTTAGGATTTACAACATATATTTTTGAGAGACATAATTCAATCCATAACAGAATAAAAACTCTTTTCTATTGAGTAGGAATAGGGAGTCAGCCCAGGCATTGTCATGGGGGAGGAGTGAGAAGGGCAGGCCATTACCACTGTCCCATCTAGGCTAATATTTCATAATTTTTCACCAGGTTCTTCTCACTCTACTCAAACTTACTTAGATTTTGCACACAAATTAAGACTTCTACACCTCATACTATTTGGGATAGCGAGTCCTTAATTCTCACTCCTTTGATATTGAGACTTAAACTACTACAAACTGGGTGACTGAAAACAATAGAAATTTACTCTCTCACAGTTTAGGAGGCTAGAGGTCCAAAATCAAGGTGTCAGCAGGGCCATGCTCCCTCTGAAGGCTCTCGAGAAGAATCCTTCTCCGTCTCTTCTAACTTCTGGTGGTTGCTGGCACTCCTTGACACTCCTTGGCTTGAAGCTGCATCATTCCAATTTCTGCTCTATCTTCACAGGGCCAGCTTCCCTCTGTGTGTCTGTCTCCAAATAACTCACTCCTTATGAGGATACCATCACTGGATTTAGGACCTACCCTAATCCATTATGACCTCAACTTGATTACATCTACAAAGACTACATCTCCAAACAAGGTCAATTTGACAGGCACTGGGGATAAGACTTCAGCATATTTTGGGGAGTACACAGTTCTATTTCTTACAGGATCCATGTTTATTTTTCCCCTAAATTGAAAGCCAGTGGCTCAAACCCTGTCTTGTATTTGTCATTTTCACACTAATTTGAAAAGCTGCTTTATCATACTTTAAATGCTCGTGTATAGATAAGCTTTTTTTTTTTGTACGGTTCTAAAGATCTATTCTAAGTACCCGTGTCAGAACAAAAAGACATACACTTTCCTGACCATTCTTGGAAACTTTATTTTCCAGTAAGATTCAGAATCATTTAGTCAAGCTCCATGAAAAAAAAAAAGGGGGGGGGGAATTGACCCAGGATCTACAAATTAGTGGGACACTATGGTTTTCAAAAAGAGCATATTCCCAACCAGAAGCGTGATATATTTTACAATGGTTGGAAAGATTTACACCAACAAATTACCTGTGGGATGTTATATGGTAATTCAAGGGAGAATAGAGAGTAATTTAATTCTCTACTTCTGCATTTGTGTGGTTTCTTCAAAAACGCACATATTACATTTCTAGTCTAGATACACCAGTCAATAAAAAATTTCCAGTATACCTCCAACCTGGAAACAGGAGAAAGTAAAGCTAGGATATTTCAAAAGACAGACACCTCTTCCCCAAACCTAGAGCTAGGACATTTACTATCTTTCTCACCTATCAGCAGTCCGTACATTAAAACCCTTTGTAGCCATGCACGATCCCTGTTTGCATGAATTCACCATTCCCCAAACTCTCCCTGAGGCTGACTCTCCTGGGTCATGTATGGCAGTGGAGAACCAGAATTAAATCAGCAAGAGTTTCTGCCAAGTCTCTTGTTCTCACACAGGCCAGACATACATCAAGAGAGACAAGCCTAGGAGTCACTTCCACAACATCCAGGTTACTGTGGAAGAAGTGCTCTAGTATGCTCAGGAAACGACACTGGAAGAGTCTCTTCCTAATTTCAGCCTATTTTAAAAGTACTCTATCAAGTTACCCGAATGACCGTCCACAAGCCACCATCCTAAAGAAAGCGATAGCTTTTGGAAATGGGCCAGAATTCTCCTTCGGGTGGACTGGAGATGCTGACTCCTGGGCACCTCTGCTTTGGTGCCTGGCAATGACTTATTACTAACGCCACAGTCAAACTCTGGAAAAAAAAAAAAAAAAAGACCTTCTGCCCTATGTGTGTCCTCTGGTGTTTTATGAAGCGTGACTTCTGTCTAAAGGCTTCACTACACTCCTTGTACACACAGAGTTTCTATACTGAGTGTGTCCTCTGATGTCTGATGAGGTTTGACTTCCAACTAAATCCTCGCCCACACTTCCTGCAAATATAAGGCTTCTCCCCTGAATGTGTCCTCTGGTGTCTGATGAAGTGTGACTGTCGGCTAAAGCCTTGCCCACATGAGGCTGCCCCGTGTGCCCTCTGGTGTGTAATGAGAGTTAACTTATCACAAAAGCCTTGCCCACATTCCTTGCACACAAGGGGTGTATCACCTGAGTGTGTCGTCCTGTGCCTGAATAGGTTTGGCTGCTGGCTGAAGCTTCTACCACACTCCCTGCATAAGAAAGGCTTTTCCCCTGAGTGCGTCCTCTGGTGTGAGCTGAGGGTTGACTTATCATTAAAGCCTCGCCCACACTCCCTGCATACAAACGGCTTCTCCCCTGTGTGCGTCCTTAGGTGTCTGTTGAGGTGTGACTTCTGGCTAAAGGCTTGCTCGCATTCCCTGCAAACATAAGGCTTCTCTCCCGAATGTGTCCTCTTATGTCTAATGAGGTGTGAATTCTGGCAAAAGCCACGCCCACATTCTCTGCAAACATAAGGCTTCTCTCCAGAGTGTGCCCTCTGGTGTGTGATGAGGTTTGACTTTAGGCTAAAGCTCTGCCCACATTCCTTGCATACATAAGGCTTGACCCCTGAATGTGTCCTCTGATGTGTGAAGAGGTTTGACTTCCAACTAAAGCCTCGTCCACACTCCTTGCACACATAAGGTTTCTCGCCTGAATGTGTCCTCTGATGTGTGAAGAGGTTTGACTTCCAAGTAAAGGCTCGTCCACACTCCTTGCACACATAAGGTTTCTCCCCTGAATGTGCCCTCTGGTGCGTGATGAGGTTTGACTTCCAGGTAAAGCCCCGCCCACATTCCCTGCACACATAAGGCTTTTCCCCAGAGTCTGTCCTCTGGTTTTTGATGAAGACTGACACACTGCCCAAGTCTTGTCCCCACTCCTTGTACACGTAAGGTATCTCCCCTGTGTGTGCCTTCTGGAGGTTGAGTAGATCTGACCTCTTGATAAAGCCTAGTCCAAACTCTCCATATTTGATTGCTCCAAATCCTGAGATTTCTAAATCACTAAAAACTTTGTCTGTTTCCTCAAGGTCTGCCCTCTGTTCTGAGCTGGGCCCTAGTTCCACCACTGTGCTGTCTTCCTTGGGCCGAACAGGCTGTTCTTCAGGTGGGCTGGAGAATGCCCCTGAAGTGGTGTTCTTGTTTACTCTCCCAATCAAGGCTTTGAAGTCTTCTTTCTCTTGAACTTCCGCTTTGACACTAGAGCAGCTATGATCAAAAAGTTGTTCCTGCTGCTGTTTCTGACCTCCTGGATTTTGTTTCCCCGGATGGAAATGACTTTCTGGATGTAAACTTGAGAATATCTGAGGTTGATGACTGAGCCAGCCATGTTGGCTGAGGGCTTGCTGACTGGAGAATGCCAGAGCGCAGGAGAGATAAGGTTGAATTTCTGGTTTTGATCCTCCTGAAGAAAGAACATTTTCAGTCAGAGTTATCAGAGTTAGGCCTGCCTAGGCCATTTTGCCTTATCTTATAGATATGCCCCACCGATCATTCAAAATATGGAATTCATTCAAAGTATGTTTATATCACAAGCTGTTTCCAACCAAGACATTCTTCCTGGACCTGTCTTTTATTTTACTTTATACATTACATTTTCCATTGCAAGAGTCAGCAAACTCACCTGGTGGGCTAAATCCAGCCTGTAATCCGTTTTTGTATGGCCCACCAGCTAAAAATAATTTTTACATTTTTTAATAAAATTATTACGTTTACATTTTCACATTTAATAAAACCTTATATTAAAAAAAGAACTATGTTAAAGAAACTGCATGTAGCCTGACAGGCTTAAAACGTTTATTATGTGTCCATTTACAGAAAAAGTTTATTGACCTCTGTTCTGTTGCAATGCCAAAGACTTATGTTCACATTATCCAGCAGACTAAAAATTTTCAGGGGTTCTAGAAATCAACCAAAAGCATACAATAAATTGAGAAATGTTTATTAGTGGGAAAACACTGAACATCAGATAAGAACAGCAGAAATCTGTGACATTACTGCCTGGAGATGCTCTCACCCCTTCTATACCCCAGCTTGGTCTGTGTGGCAGTTTTACCAGGGCAGGCCATGAAACCGTAGTTTAATTGCTGCTGGAGGGGGCTCACTTGATTTGGAATGGGGGGTGAAAAGCCAATGCCTAGTGGAGCTGTCATTAAAAGTAGTCATCTAGGTGGTAAACAAACAGGGAAGGCCAGCGATTCTGCTAGTGTGAGGCTGTGGTTTTGGTTGAGATGAAAAACAGACTGGTGGACTAGACAGAAATTTAACATGGAGACTCTGGAAACAAGACAGGCAGAAAAGGGCTTGATAAGCTCTTCAAACAACCCTAGCTGAAAAGAAGGCTATGGACACAAACAGGAAAGACTAGAAGGGGCTGAAGCTATCCACATACCCCTGCCTGACAGGGAGGCTGTAACCAGGTGTAGAGAAAAGCAAGAAAGCCCAGTGGAAAGTAAGAGCCAGGAAAGACTTGGAAACTGCCTGAACTTTGAATGCATTCCATATCCTAAACACTTATCCATCAGCAGAGTGTTACTGGCTCAAAGTCTTTAAGCACAACCTATAGCCAATTATTACAGACTACTAAACTATGCAAGCACAAAGCTGACATCTATAAAGCCCGGGTGAAAATAATCACATGAATACATGTTTTTTTTTTATAATGAGCAGAAACATCATCACTGCAGAAGAGACATATTCCACAGATTTAATCTTGAAAAGTCACTAAATAAATAAAAAGCAGCAACAACGATCTTCAGGCAGGAAATATAAGCAGATACCAGAGGCATAATATTGAAATATTATAAATAATAAATCATAATATATATTTATCTAAAATATATTATAAAAAGTTATACTATAAATAATAAATTTAAAATGAAGTTATCTAAAATATCAAATTTTAGAAGAAGTAGAAAAAAGTGACCCATACTCAAGAAACTGTCTCTGAGTGGTTTCAGATGTTGATTTAGGGGAAAAAAAATTTCAAAGCTGATATATATATGTTCAAAGAACTAAAGGAAAAAATATGTAAAAAAAATTAAAGGAAAGTATGATAATAATGAAGGAACCCTGATGATGCAATGGTTAAGCGCTCAGCTGCTAACCGGAAGGTCGACAATTCGAACCCACCAGCTGCTCCGTGGGAGAAAAGACCTGGCGATCTGCTCCCGTAAAGATTACAGCCTAGGAAACCTTACATGGCAGTTCTACGCTGTCCTATAGGGTCACTATGAGTAGGAACTTACTTGACGGCACACAACAACAACAGGGTAACAGTGACTCAACAAATAGAGAATCTCAATGAAGAATTGCTATTGTGTGCTATCAAGTCAATTCCAACTCATAATGACCCTATATGAAGATTAAAAAAATCCGTAACAAAATACTAGCAAACTAAATCCAGCAATGGATAAGAAGAATTCTATACCATGACTAAATAAGGTTTATTCTAGAAATGCAAGGCTGGTTCAACATTCAAAAATCAATGTCATTCACCACATTAACAGAGTAAAGCAGAAATATCATATGATCTTCTAAAAGGAAACGTCTAGAATTTTTTTCTTACAGGGCAAGATAATACATATTGTAGACTTGTGGGCCATACAATCTCTGCTGTTGTGTGAAGGCAGCTAGAGAAAATATGTAAACAAATGAGTGTGCCTATGTTCCAATAAAATTTTATTTATAAGAACTTTATTTACATAGGAAATAAAACTTTATTTACTGTTCATGGCCTGTAATGTTTTAGCCTCTGATCTAAATAGATGCAGGAAAATCATCTGACAAAATTCAACCCCATGCATGATAAAAACTCTCAGCAAAATAAGAAGGGAAATGCCTCAACCTGATAAAGCTAACATTATACTAGATGGTGAAAAAAGCGAATGCTTGTCACCCAAATTGAAGACCACAAAATGGATGTTCACTCTCATTGCATCTATTTAACACTGTACCGATGGTCCTAGCTACTGCAATAAAGCAAGAAAAAGAAATTAAAGGCATATAGATTAGAAAGGAAGGAAAAAAAAGCTGTCTATGTCCACAGATGACATGATCAGTCACATAGAAAATGCTAAGGAATCCAGAAAAAAGCTACTATACCTAATAAGTGAATTAAGGAAGGTTACAAGAAACAAGGGCGATATACGAAACTCAAAAGTATTTTCATATACTAGCAGTGAACAACTGGAAGTTGAAATTAAAAATACAATTCTATCCACAATAGCATCCAAAATCATGAAATAATTAGGGATAAATTTACCAAAATATGTGTGACACCTGCACACTGAAAACTATAAAACAGTGCTACAATAATGAAGACAGTGTGGCTTTCACAAAGATCAGTGGAACAGAATAAGGAGACCAGAAATAGTCTCTCAGGTATACGGTCAACTAATTTTTGGCAAAGGAATACAACAGGGAAAAGACTTCACTTCACATCATACTTAAATCATAATGAAAATTAGAAATATTTTGAACAAAACAATGACAAAAAGAACTACATATCAAATTTGTGGGATTCCACTTAAGAAAAAAAGAAATTTATAATCTTAAATCCTTATATTAGAAAAGAAGAAAGGCTGAAAAGTAATAATGCTAAGCATTTATCTCAAAAAGTTAGAAAAAGAACAACAAAATAAGCCCAAAAGAAGGGGACATAATACACATAATAGACACGACCAACAAGCCAAAAGTTGCTTTTTGAAAAGATTAATAAGATTCACAAATCTTTGACAAGACTGAACAAGGGAAAAAGGGGAGGCACACATAAACAGATTAAATAGTTGTCTACATCTGAAATTCCAAAGAATCTATATAGGACAAATTATTAAAATAAAACCATTCAGCAAGGCTCCTAGCTATATGATTAATATGATGAAATAAATTTTATTTTTTACATGTCAACAAAAACAATTATAAAAAATTAGTTTTTAAAAATGTAATTTTCAAAATAACAAAAAATATAATAAGCCCATGTATAAATTTAAAGAAAGATGTACATTACAGAAAATTATAAAACTTAGCAGAAGGAAGTAATGAAGATATATTAATAAACAGAGAAGGTACCATATTAATAAACAGACTTAATATTGTAAAAGGTATCAATTCTTCCCTAATTATTGATATATAATTTACATATAAAATTAATTAATATAGAAATCCAATGCAATTATAACAATCCTGACAAAATATTCTATGAAATCTCAAGAGCTAATTATTATAGACTATCAAAGGGATAAAACACTGTGGCAATATCACACTGTTTTAATTTACTATAACTTTATAATAAGTTTTGACATCTAGTAAATATAAAGTTAAAAAAAAAGCAGGTAGGCAGGTCATAGACTGGAAGAAGAGAAATACAACATAATTAACTGACAGAGCTCATTTCCAGGATTTATGAAGAATTTCTACAAATTGATAAGAAAAAGAAAAACAGGCAAAAGATTTGAACAGGCAATTCACAGAAAACACCAAAGCCAATCAACATATGAACATATGGAAAGATGCTCAAGCTCAATAGTAACCAAATTAGAACCTCTGTGAGATGCCATTTCATACCCAAAAGATGGGCAAAAACTAAAGTCTGATCACACCAAGTACTGACCAGGATGCAGAACAACTAGAATTCTTATACAATGCTATGCAAATGTAAACAAATTTGGGAAACAGTTTGCATTACCCAGCCAGACTGAACAAATGCATACTCTCTGACTCGGCTCTTCCACTCCTAGGTAGAGATCTTAGAGAAGTAAGTGCCTATGCACCCAACATGTGTCTGCGAATGCTCATAGCAGCATTCTTTAATAGTCAAATTCGGTAAAAACATAAATGTCCAACAAAAATAGAATGGATAAATGAATTGTATTATAATTACACAGATCATACAACACTACAAAACAGTGAAAATGAATGAACCAGAGCTGCACATATCAACATGAATGAATCTTACAAACTTAGTGAAGCAAATTGCAGAAGGATATGAGGACATTAACATAAAGTTTAAAATATGCCAAACAACACTACAGTGGTTAAAGGAAGTATATCTATGAAGTAAAGAACAAAAGCACGCATGGGATTATAAATCCCTAATTTTGCAGAACGGTTCCCTTTGGGTAATGTGTGGGGAGTGGGATACAGTCTAGGAAGGGAGACGGGGGCTTAAACCGTTGAGATGATATTTATTTCTTAAGCTGGTGTGTTGGCACATGAGTTTCTATTTTATTCTTATTCATAGCTTACTGTAATCTTACATACTGTGTAATAAATGGTTAAAAATATAGGAATTGGAGATGTGGAGATAATCAATTATGCTTAGCATAAGAGAAACTGGAACATATCTAGAAGCATAGCAGACTTAATGCTCATGGGTGGGTGCAGTTTTTAAGATCAGTGAGAGAGAAAGAAGCCCATGAATGAGAAAAGACCGAGCACGATGGAGAGAGCAAATCAAGTGAGAGGAAGAGAGGCTTCCTAGAAGAAAGACAAGGAAAGCTCCTCCCTCAACTGAAGGTGATGTTCTAGAAGGGAGGCCATGCCAGGCAGTCTTACTAGTGACCTAACAGACCTCTTACGCATGCGAAAGCTGGACAATCAATAAGGAAGACCGAAGACGAATTGATGCCTTTGAATTACGGTGTTGGCGAAGAATACTGCATATCCCATGGACTGCCAAAAGAACAAATCTGTCCTGGAAGAAGTACAGTCAGAATGCTCCTTAGAAGCAAGGATGGTGAGACCACATCTCACATATTTTGGACATGTTATCGGGAGGGATTAGTCCCTGGAGAAGGACATCATGCTTGGTAGAGGGTCAGCGAAAAAGAGGAAGACCCCCAACAAAATGGATTGACACAGTGGCTGCAACAATGGGCTGAAGCTTAACAATGACTGTGAGGCTGACGCAGGACCGGGCAGTGTTTCATTTTGTTGTACACGCTGTGAGTCGGAACCGACTTGATGGCACCTAACAACAACAGACCGGGAGAAGAGCTTCCTCCCGAGTACTTGAGGTGCCTGCCCCCTCCCCCCCTGCCAAGCTGCTTACCAGCCCGTCTGCCCTGCGCTCCCACTCACCTAGACAGGGGTCCAGCAGATGTTTTCTCTCCCCTCTCCGGGGCTCCTCCCTGTGCTCCAGCTGAGTAATGAGTTTTGGTTTGGAAAATGGAATGCCTGCTTATAGGGAAAGAAAAGAAGGAGAATCTTGGTTATAGGCTCAAGGGGCCATTCCAGAACTTAGACCTCAAATAGGAAGGGAAACCCAGAGGGTGCTGCAAGGACCTATGACTGGTAACTCTCTGCAGAAGGGTTAAGGCAAGTGTGCTTCCAATCAGAGAGACAGCATACTGATGCTTGGGGAATGAAAATCTCCTGGGTTTGGAGCAAGATGAAGTTAGAAGAGAGTTCAGTCTTGGGAAAGAGGCTGAGAAATGCAGTGTCATACACAACATGAATCAATCTACCTGCTTCTAAGTCTTCTAACTATCGATTTACCCTGAGAGAAAAGCTAAATTATTATTTATAAACCCAACTCTAAGGCAAAGCAGCTCCACATGTAGCCTTTCTTCATGATAAGCAGAAGATGCTCCGCAGGGCAGATCTGAAGTGCTAAGGGAAGCCCGCCTTACCCAGTGAGACCAAGTGGTTGCAGGTCTCCAGCATCACTTCTCTGTACAGGGTCCTCTGAGCAGGGCTCAGCAACCACCACTCTTCCTGGGTGAAGTCCACAGCCAGATCCCCGAATGCCACGAAAGCCTTTAACACAAAACACACCCCTCTTCACCCAGAAGCCAGCCTGGCCACGGCTCAGAGTGAGGGGTCAAAAGGCTGCCCTGAGGGAGGTAAGATTTCTAGACTCTTCTTTGGATTCTGACCTTGGTGCCAAGGTTGAAAAGACCATTATTCTATCTCTATCCAGCAGACATCACTTGTGTACCTATTACTGCCAACACCCTAGGCTGGCTGCTATGTGAGATTTAAAAAAAACAGTCCTACACTTGAGGAGCTTTAAATCTAGGCAGGGAGAAGAGAAAGACATCACAGACACAAAATTAAACAACGGTAAAAAATAATCATCTGAGTTTGAAGGATTTGTGTTCCCCTTGAAACAGCTGAGCCTCCAGGGGGTACAAATCACCCACCAAGTCACATACTTCATACAGCAGTGTTCGCCCCTTCCCCACTGCCCCACTTCCTGCCCAGGCCTGAGAGCCAGGAGCAAGAAGTGGTAAAGGGCACGGGCTCAAACCACATTCTTACATCTGGAACCCACCTCTGACCCCAGCGAGTGTAACCTTGGGTGAATTAACTCTCAGTGTCTCGGTAACTTCGTTTCTGAAATAACAGTGCCTATCTCCCAGGGTTGTGGGGAGGATTGAATGAGTTGACAATAGTAAGGTACTCAGACAACTGACTGCGGCACACCGTGATGGGCGAAGACTTCCCAGTCCATTCTGTGTAAAATTCCGTTCCATCGACCAGTTCTTACTCCCGTCCCCGGCTTTGCACTAAGATAGTAGACGTGGTGTTAGTTTTTATTGTTTGACTCCCCTACTAGCATTGCTCATTGCTATTTCTCCAGTGCCTACAACAGAGCTTGCAAACACAAAGCAAATATTTTTAAATGACAGGATATGCATTTATTAGTATTACTATTCCACTACTGAAGTTTCAAATGAAACCTCTGCTGCCTAGAAAGCTGTCCTTTGGGTGGTGAGAATTACATAAAGGTCCTTGGCACAGAGGCTTGGGTGAGGCATCTTGGCTTGGAGACATGCAAAATCAAAGTGCAAGTGAACCTAGGTATTCAGTTCTGAGACTGTTCCTAACTCATCACTCACTGTATCATATGTATGTCCCTACAGGACAGAGGAGAACTGCCCCATAGGGTTTCCAAGGAGCAGCTGGTGGATACAAACTGCAGATCTTTCGGTGAGCAGCCATAGCTCGCTGTAGCTCTTAACCACTGCGCCAGCAGGGCTCTGTCATACATACACACGCACACACACACACACAAAACCAAAAACCAAACTCATTGCCGTCAAGTTGATTTCAACTCATAGTGACCTTACAGAACAGAGTAGAATAGCCCCATAGGGTTTCCAAGGAGCAGCTGGTGGATTCAAACTGTCGACCTTTTGGTTAGCAGCTAAGCTCTTAACCACTGTGCCACCAGGGCTCCATATGTATATGTGTGTGTGTGTGTGTGTGTGTATATATATACATATATAATTGTGTTTCAGGTGAAAGTTTACACAGCAAATTAGGTTCCCATTTAACAATTTTTATACAAATTGTTCTGTGACATTAGTTACAATTTTCATAGTGTGTCAGCATTCTCATTATTTCCATTCTGTTTGTTCTGTTTCCATTGATCTAGCTTCCTTTCCCCTCTGCTTTTGGGTAAATGTTGACTGTTTGATCTCATATTGTTGACTGCTTAAGGGACACGTTACTCAGGGGTGCTACTGTTTATTTTATAAGCCAATCTATGATTTGGCTGAAAGATAACCTCCAGAAGTGGCTTCAGTGCCAAGGTCAAAGGGTATCCTAGGACAATAGTCTCAGGGGTTTCTTTAGTCTCTATAGTTCCAGTCGGTCTGGCCTAAAGGGATTTGAGTTTTGTTCTCCATTTTTCTCCCATTCTATCCGGGTCTTTCTATTGTATCCCTGGTCAGAATGGTTGGTACTGGTAGCCGGGCACCATCTAGTTCTTCTGGTCTCAGGTTAGAAGAGAACATGGTTCGTGTGCGCTATTAGTCCTGCAGGCTAGTTTCTTCTTTGAGTCTTTGGTTTCCTTCATTCTCTCTTTTGCTCCAGATGAGTAGAAATCAATAGTTGTATCTTAGATGGCTGCTCATAAGCTTCTAAGACTCTAGACACTACTCACCAAACTAGTGTGTAGAGCATTAACTTTATGAACCATGTTATGCCAATTGACTAAGTTATCCCATGGGACTATGGTTCTAAGCCTTTTAACCCAGTACGCCAATCCCATGAATTGTCTGGCTATGTCTAGGAAGTCTCCGTAACTGTGCCCCAACGTGCTTAGAACAGGACACACTCTGCGGTCCACAGATAGGTTTAGTATGATACTGTGACCCTCAAATTAATTCCTTGCTCTACCCACCCCAGGAGTTTCACCCTCCCAGGAACCCCTCCCTAAATTTCCTGTCTCCTACCAGCTCAGCTGTTCTACACCGGCTGTGGGATGGCTTTAACCCCACCCCACCCCCATAGTAATAGCAGTCCCAAGACCCAGCTGTCCCCAATATACCTAATCACAAATGGAAGAGCACAGACAGGGCCAGGGAGAGCTGTGGTTCTCACCCTGATCCCTGACTGCACATGAGAGCTATCTGGTGGCTCTGTAAATACCTGGGCCCCACCACAAATCAATAAAATAGAATGCTGGGGATGGGGCTTCTGTACTTTTAAATACTCCTAAGTACAGTCTTGGTTGCAAATCACTGGGTCAGAGGAATCTTGAGGGCAAGGTCACTATGGGATAGAGATCAGGCAGGTTTCGTGAGAGGTGCCATCTTGGTCTTAAAGGGTAGGCAGGATTTAGAAAGGTCAAGGAGAGAGAACAGCGCTGGTCAGTCCAGACAAGGCTTGTGGGATGGGAGGAAATAAGCAGTGAGAAGAGGCTATCTGGCAAAGAGAGAAGGCTAGAGGGTTTGAAAGCCCAAAGGCGCGTAAAAGCTATCCTCTGCTGTGGGGTGCATCTAAGGCAATATTTGAGTATTACCCACGAATTGATGGTTGGGCAACAAACATACGGATGGATAAAACCAAAAACCTGCTGCCGTCGAGTCAATTCTGACTCATGGTGACCCTATATTTATAAAGCAAATATAACAAAATGTTCACTGTTGAATTTAGGAGGTAGGTATGTGAGTGTTCAATGTACATATCTATTTTTTTCTGCATGTTTGAAACTATTCATAAGGTTGGACAGAAAGACTATTCACTCATTCAGGTACCTGCCTGGTACCTTGTGGTGATCTGATTTCCCAAATCCTCCTCAGAACACACACACACACACACCAAACCAACCTTGAAAATCTCAGCTTAAGGAGCTACATTAGAGACAACCTACCTTATTTTAACAAATTCAACACAATTGGATTTTCCTGCAGCCCTTAAACTATGGTCTCTCCCTGCGAACCAAAGCGGCAACAAGCCTGCACGCAGGGGTATGACGGACATTGTACGGTGATTCCTCACGGCCCCTCCAGACCTCTCACTGAGCGGCACACAGCTAGCAGCTCCAGGAACTAACCTCAAGTTAGGTCAAGGGGAGGGCTGACTGGATAAAAGTAATCTGTCCCGAGTCTGAGGGAGAAAAAAATCCACAGGCTCCGGCGGAAGGAATCCAGCTCGTTTGTCTTTGCCGGGCTTCTGGTTGCTGCTCTGCAGCCCTCAGCCTCAGCCATTTCAGAATCTAGAGCCTCCTCCTGCCTTCCACAAGGAGGCTCTGGGTTTCCCAGAACAGGAGCCAACTAGCTGCCAAGTTGTTAGCTGTCCCCAACTCATGGTGACCCTGGGCAGAATGGAACCAGACGCTGCCCAGTCCTGTGCGATCCCCATGATCGGTTGCAGATCACACCATTCTGATCCATGAAGTTTTCACTGGCTGGTTTTCATAGGTGTTATCGCCAGACCCTTCTTCCTGGTCTGTCTGTTCAGCATTCTAGCAACACCCGAAGAAACATGACATAACCACTAGACAGAAGCAGTGAGGCGCTTATGCGCCATCCTTCATGAGATTTAGATTGTATTTGCTATAATGTCATCATTTTAAAGATGCTCTCATCTAAGAGACATACTTTATACCGCGTGGATGGCGCCAGAGGACTACGTGGACTTTAACTCACATCGGGGCACACTTCAGCTCAGCATTTCCATCTTATCAGGGACTACCTGATATCCACAGGTACCTCTTGTGGGAGGCCCCAGGTAGAGCTTACCTAGCAGAAAAGGTATTTTCTTCTGCTCAGTCTACTCATAAAATTTTGCAGGATATAGTAAACTCATTTACAAAATAGTAATAAATAAATAAAAGTAACCCATCCCTTCACCAGCTAAAGAGTGGTTATATGGTCAACCGTGACGGAGAAGCCACCAGAAGTCTGCTGGAGGATTCTGGCAGAAGAGTTGTTTTGAAAAAGCTGTAGTAATGGGAAGCCAATGTTTCTCCTGCTGCCCAGAGACAAGAGCGCAGGTTACCACAGAGGTAGCAGAGTCTAACACACTAGCTTTACTTGTGGTCCCTGAACCCACAGCATCAGCATCCTGAGGATTTGTTAGAAATACAGATTCTCCGGCCTCACCCCAGACCCACTGAATCAGAAATGCTGCGGGTGGGGCCCAGCAATCTGTGTTTTAACAAGCTCTCCAGGTGAAATTTGAGACTCACTCAATGGTGAAAAGCATAAATTCTGGAGACAAAGCTGTGGTCAAATGACAGCGTCTTCCCACTCTCCCACCTCTAGCCCTGGAACCTTGCATCAGTAACTTAGTATCTCTGTGTTTCAATTTCCTATAAAATGGTTATTATAATAATACTTCCCATACAGAGTCACTGTGAGAATTAAACAAAGCTGCCTGGGCAAGCATGCTATAAGCCTGAGAGGAATCATCTGGGTGAAGCTGGCACTATGGAGAACAGTGGATGGAGGAAAGACCCTGGTCCTTGGTGAGCCTGTGGAGCTAGAGGACCAACCCCAAAGCGTGCCCTGCTTTTCAGCTGC